AAATACTCTGCACAAAGGAGTATTGAATCCAGCACAAAATGTGAATGAACTCCGTTATGCAAGTTAGTAGGTAGATGTGTGCCTGGCTCTCCACAGATAACACTGAGCTGAGGAAAGAAACAAGAAACATTCTGCTGTCGGGTCAGAGTGCCACTACGCAAAAATCATAACTGCTAAGTATGGTACCTAATAACCAAATGTTGGGAGATGCCATTTGTACCACAAATAAATGTTAATCTACAGATCTCAAAAAAGACCGGAGTTCTTAATTGAAGCTATCTGAGTTTGATTCCTCTTTTTTGCTACTTACAATCTGTAATATCCTAGGTAAGTTATTCAAGCTTTCTGTGCCTCAGTTTCATTATATGTAACATAAGAGCTGTAATATTTTTAAACACTACCTTATTAGGAAGGGAAACAGGATGAGGTATTTAGGATGAGAGCTCACATAATGAGCCGTCTATATATGTTAAGTATTATTACTATTATTAAACCATCTTATGTAAAAGCCAACTAATACCCCGTCCTACCATACTGTCTTGTGACTTGCCTATCTTTGAAAAATGAAGCAAAGTAACTAAAATACCTAATGGTCAAGTAGTAGGAAGAAACACAAAATAAAAACGAACCGGGTCTTACCCAAACATTTTTAACCTGTGAATTACTTCTTTTCCCCTTTCACTCCCTTACTACTACCACAAATTTTTTTAAACATCAAGGCATAAAGTATAAAAAGTGAGAGAGTAATAGCAGGGTTAAAATAAGACTTTAATCTAAAGCACCCTGATCATGTTATAATTTTGATGATTTCTCAACAACTCCATAGAAGCCAGCTATTCAATAATAAGGTTAAAGTGTTATAGGCTTAATAATACTATAAGGTTTTGATTTTTTTAAAATATTATTTCAAAAGAATACTAATTTATAAATACCACAAAATGAATTACTAAAACAAAACGATCATTTTGAGCAGCATAAAATGACTTAAAACTACTTTGGCTAGTTGTGCAATCACTGTTTCCTAAGGGAACATAACAAGTCTGAAAGAAACTGATAAAAAGTTATGGAACAAACGATCATTTTAAAAGTCTACTGAATTATCTATTATTTTAAAATGGAAGATTGAAGCTTAGGATATGTTACTTTTATCTTATGCTGGGCATGCTAAACAGACTGCCACTGAGCTACACCAATAACCTCCTGGAATCTTTTTTCTTTCTTTTTCTCCTGGAGTTTTTCTCCTTTGATTTTGGTAGCTTCATTTATACTTCCTTATAGCTGTATGGGAGCTGTTCATCATAGATAGAATGTTTGTATGTGGTTTTTTCTTTTGTTTTTACATTTTTCCCCAGTGTTTACATATTCAAAAGTGCCAAAGCTATGTGGCTCTAGGCAAATTGACAAAGACTAGGAGAGATGTTCTAAAATATGCATAGTTTTTTCTTGAGAAGGCTTAAAATGAAAATCATATGAGAATTATTGGACATACTCTTATTCTACACACAAACCTCAAGTTTTGTAATCATTTTCACCCCTGAAATGTAAAAAAACGAGTTCAGAATAAAGACAGGAATGAAGGTAGATTAAAATGAAACTGAATTTTTTTAACCTAATATCTGAAAAATTGAGGCAGAAAAATATAGACCTTCTATGAATTATATTCAATGTATTTCAAATATCATTATAATTAATAAGGTGAAAGATTTAAAATTTTGTGTAAGACACTGCCGGGTATGGTGGCACATGTCTATAATCCCAGCTCTCAAGAAGCTGAGGCAAGAGGATCACGGGAGTTCCAGGCCAGCCTGAACTACATAGTGAAACCCTGTCTCAAAAAACTAAATAAATAAATAAAATAAAATAACACTCATTGCATTTTTAGGAAAAAAAAGGGGGAAAGAGGAACTCATCTGAAATGATAAAATTAAGATCAGGTTTCACTGATCACTCTCTTCTGTATCGTTATGCTGTTTGATCAGCATGGTATGACACCTCGCTAACATGCTAATCAAAAGCTTTCTAAATGGACTGGTGGGGAAAAAGAGGGAAGATGTGAGGGAAAGAGGAATGGTAGATAATCATAAATATTATTTAGTTATTTTCAAATTTTATTTTGTATAACACTTAAGAAAGTTACTTAGCCCAAACCCATGAATTCTAATTTGTTAGCTCTAGGATATTAACTCTACACTCTAACAAACACCCCAAAGGACAATGAGGCAAGTAATCTACAGTCTCTAGAATACCATTTCCAAGCCTGGTACCACCCCACACAGTACTCTGTGCTGCAATTTTTAAAAAAATCTTTACCTGTAAAATTAAGTGGAAAGATAAACAAACAATGTTTCTATGTAGTAGGATTTTTTGGAGCTTCAGTAAACATTTCAATTCTCATGAGTGAGAAAATAACCATACTACATATCTTAAATTATTGTAGTGCAATCATTTCCACGGTGTTTAATCTACCAATAACTATATTCCTAAAAACCTTCAGACAAGGGGCGGGAATTTAGCTCAGTGGTTTCGCTGCCTGCTACGCAAGCACGATGACCCGAGTTCAATCATCGGTAGCAAAAAAAAAAAACCTTCAGACAAGAAAACTACAGAAAAGATTAAGATGAAAAGAACTGGACTAAATTAGGAAAATTAAGAGCTTCCTTATAATTACAGTATAGAAAAGCAAACTGGTAAAAGAGGCTAAAAGAAACAACTTAAAAGATCCTTTTTTAAGTAACACTGAACTATGGACATACTCTTATTGGATATATAATGTTACTATTATATACATAATTTCCCTCTATATTATAACTCTAAATTTAAAGATGATAATACTGGTCAAAAGATTTAACAAAGAAAAAATTGGTAACATACTGTTTCATAAGAGGATAATCTTAGCAGACAGACATTTGAAGTAATAACAGCTTTTCTCTAAAAACTTAAAAATAGGGCTGGGGATTTAGCTCAGTGGTTCTGCCGCCTGCCTCAGAAGCACAAGGTCCTGAGTTCGATCCCGGGTACCAAAAAACAAAACAAAACAAAACAAAAAAACTACATGGTGTTGACACTACTCAACTACCAGGCTAGGTAAAACTTAAAAATAGTTAGTATTTGCATCAGTTACAGAAAATATTTTAGAAATAGAAACTAGCAGGCTGACTTTAAAGGGAAAAATTATCTCTAGTTCCTTCATAAACCAGATGAATTTTAAAGTCGAAGAAGAAATGTTTTAAACCATGGGGATTACAATTAAACTATTTCATTATGCTCTATTTAGAACACCTAAAATAAACTATGTATTTCCAGTGTCTAAGAGTTAGCAATTCCCAGATTAGTTTTATCAATTTCAGTGAACCTCAAATACAGAACTGAATGAAGTAATCTAAGTGATTTATCTTAAATAAGACTTTTAGTTGATAAAAAAAAAATTAGCAGTTATTACAGATTTTTAGAACATAGAACCTTTTGAGAAAATTCTAACTTTAAGGGGAAAAAAATGAAACAGGTAACAAAACAAATGATGATGACAACTAACCCTAAAAATATCTTTATATCTCCCTCAAAGAGATTTAGATTTTGAAAAATACTTGCCTTGGCTCAAGGCAGAACAGTAAAATATTCTCCTCTAAGAATTCATAATTCCAAGCCAGACTTTTTAGATTTACAGTAGAAATTTATACACTGACGTAATGAAAAACTCCAATCTTTTATTTAAAATAGTCTCACACTGATAGCGAGAACTCCAAGCACCTGATAACAACAAACACAACTGCTTTCTGGAAGAAACACTTAAATCTTGGCCTCAAAGAACTTTCAATGAGGTAGAAATTTGGAAAAACACTTCCAGACACATTTTTCCAGAAGAGGAAATACAGCTTACCAAAAATATATAAACAAATGTTCAAAATCTTCAGTACTGAAGGAAAAGCAAAATAAAATGACAATATACTTTTCTTCCTTGCATTGCTTTGAGAAGTATTTAATCATTGTTTGTGAAACAACAGAAACATTACCCACTGCAAGCATAAGTGTAAATGAGAATGTGAAACATGTGACATTATCCAGCAAATAAAGACGCAGACAGACTAAAACTCAAAAAATCTACACCTTAGTATAGACTGTAATTCCTTGTTACCTTGCTACAGGAGACATTTACAAGAATATCTAAAACAAAGTTAGAAAAACAAAACAGAAACTAATTGTCCATGGGGCAGGGATGTTGCTCACTGGTACTGTGCCTGCCTGGCAAGTGCAAGGTCTTGAGTTTGATCTCCAGTACCAGGGGGGGAAAAGAAAACCTAATTGCCCATCAAGAGAACAAAGGAAAAACTAGATAATGATCTACTCTTTCAACAGAAAACTAAACATTTATGAAAATAAATGAAGTACAATTACATGTATGCTTGAATCAAATCAATATAACATTGGTCAAAATATCAAGTTACAGAAGAAAAGTCTGACTCCTTTCATACAAAATTCAAACTTCCAAAAGTTTATTTGTGGTTACACAGTATTTATTATTAAAAGTATTATTTATGGTTACACAGATTTGAAATGTAATTATAAAACAAAAGATTAGCGAGTCAGAGACATAAGGCTGAGGAGGTAAGAGATGACCTCAGAGTTATATAGATGGGGAAGAGATGGGCTTTGAGAATGTTTTTTTTTTTTGGTACCAGGGATAGAATTCAGCACCTTGCACTTGCCAGGCAGGAGTGGTGCCACTGAGATAAATCCCCAGCCCGAGAATGTTCTTTTAAGCAGAGTGGTAGGTATACTGGATGCTCATTATTATTATGCTTTCAATTGAACATATAAACCACAAACTCTCAGGGAAAGACAGTGTATTTATAATTTAAAAAAAAAAATTCTTAAAAATACCAAATAATTATTGTAAGTTTCTTTCTTTGTTTCCTGAATATATGTGTACCCTCTGTTTTCCCAACCTCTCAAATTTGTAGTTAGAATGTTATTATAATTATTAAAAATAAGAAATAAATTACCGTGTTTCTTATTGGAATCTTTTTGGGTTCTGGTGGCACATCCTGTGGGACAAATTTCACTGGCTCCTTAATCTGCCTCCGTGATCGTTTAGTCCCATCTGGTAAGGTTTCCATGGCCATGTCTGCTTCCATGTCACTGCTCCCTGCCTGGTCACATTCTGAGCACTGCCTGCATAAATTTGAAAAAGAAAAGGTAAGGTCATATACTTATTATCTTCTAGCTTTAGAGAATAGTTTTTATAAATACAAAATACAGAAATGCATGTGGACATCTCTCAGAACAACTACCATGAATACATAAAGCAACCCAATGTATTCTTGTAATTATCATAAGAATGCATGCAACAATGCTGCATATGTGCTTAAGTTGAACCAATCTAAACAACATAGCATTAATTTAAAAGGTAGCTTCCCTATGGAAATCATGACTTCTCCTTAAGTGACATAAGACTATGTATGCCATCTGAAAATTACAATACTTCAGGGATTCTGACCCTATTCTTTGTCAAACTTAACCTATCTTTTTGATAATTAATGACAAGCAGTGCTAAAAAGGCCACTTAAAACTTTATAGAAAGTAACTCTAGGAATGGTGAAAAATTAGTCATTTTAGTTGGTCACCCAAGTTACTGCTAAAAGAAAAATGTAAATTTACCTACTAAAGGAAGTTGTTAAAGCAGAACTTATGAAACACTTTTAACATGTGTAACATTAGACAATTACTGAATTTGAGACTTCGGACTAGACCAAGCTATCCTCCAGAACTTTCTATGCTAGAATTGCAGCCATGAGCCTGATACTGCTAATAAGCGCTTAAAATGTGGCCAGTGCAACTGAGAGCTTGAGTTAAATTTAAATAACCACATGTGTCTAGTGGCTAAAATTTGAACATAGAAAGCTAGGCAATGACTATTTAAAATCTTTATAATGACAACTGAAAACCCATTTCAAAAATGTACAGCCAATAGTTAAAAATTTTACTTATATATTTTCTTCAAACTTAATGATCAGATCAAAGAAGTTTTCCAAAAGTCTTACTTATAGTAGCATTCTCTTTATGAACATTATACTGTAAATACATAAAAATGTATGTGTTATATTAGTATGCATAAATGTAACATATTTCAAATATTTTTAAAGTTTTCTTATCATGTAATTCATGGTCCATCAAAATTTCTATCTTTCACCCATTAATACTGTAAGCTTAACATCAGGCTAATATTCAGTTTTACAAGTGAAAGTTTTCAATTCTGAACTCTAACTACAGTCAACTACAAAGTACCATTTGCTTTGTTAATGCAAGGACACTAAGTGTTAAAATGTAAATTAACATTTAAAATACCAATTTAAATCATTTTAGGGTTAGCATTAGGGTTAAATTATAGGGAATTTAAAAACATGAATTCTGATGAGATGATGGTAGAAACAGCATTACTATTCTAAAATTCAAGAAATTACCAACTATTTGAGCTACTCTAATCAATCAACCCTTTATTACTTACTTATGTCCTACTAGACATGCCTTAGAATTCAAGGTAATATGTAGATAAGAGATTTTAATAATAACAAAACCACAAATTAACATAAACTGAGATAAAATACATTTTAAATACTAGGAGGATCAGTGCATAAAGAAAAAATAGAACCTAGGTCATAGTCATTAGCTCCTCTACCTCTGAAAAATTCCTCACCTACCTGATCTTCCTTTGCTTTGCCTATCTCTAGCCCAAATTCAGAAGCCCTCTTCTCCAGAGCAGCTGACTACCATTTGAGGAAAATCAAATAATCACAACACTAATTAATTCACTGAACACTACAGCTATACAGCCTCAGTAAGTTATTGCTATTTTTTTCACAGTTGCTGTGAAAAACTATTTGTTCTTTTCTGAAGCCCTCATTATCATCTGAGTCACACTACTTCTTTTTCAGTGAAAAGTCTGAGCGTATATGATGTGAACTCACTCTACTTCCTTACCCTCCACTAATAATTATGTGTTATCTTTATCCACCTCTTGTTTCCTGTCACATGTCTCAAATCAGCCCAGCTGAGCCCAGTGATTACTATGGGAAGGAATAAACAGGAAGCATAAAGATCTACAGCTAACATCTCCATGAAATCAGAGGGGGTACTGGAAGAAAAGGCCAGAAGGCAAATGCTTTAAAGATAGAGTCATTCAAGCAGAATGTGAAATCTGAAAAGTAAGGTGACATGTTATAATAATTCTATCTAAAGTCAGCAGAATGAAGATTGAGTAAAAAGTATGTTAGCAGGGACCAGGGATTTAGCTCAGTGGTGCCAGCTGCCTCGCAAGCGCGAGGTCCTGAGTTCCATCCCCAGTACCAAAAAAAAAGAATGTCAGCATAGTCTTGCAGAACATAAAGACAGCAAAAGCAGAAACTAGTAACACTCAGAAATGTATACTAGCAGTATCTGCAGGAAGTTAAGGCAAAGATTACAGATAGAGACACAGTCACCAAATAAGGGATGAGCAACAGAACCCTAATAAAGAATTATCAAGAACTATATAGGGACTACAACAGAGCCAATGACACACTAGTAAATGTCTGACACCCAGCTCTCTGGAGGAAAATCCATAATTTGTGCATCTGCCATTTTCCAGGAAGGAGTTCTCCCAACCAAGGCAATTTCACATTATCAAAATGACATCATAGAATGTAGGACAGGGAAAAGATGAGAAGTAGCATCATTACACAGGTTTTTTACAATACACATTTAACAGACTTAACCTCAAGAGTACAGATACAACTTAACAGATTATACATATTTAACAATGTGTTTGAGAGCACATACCACCTTTTAAACAGATCACAATTTAAGGATTTGGATGTTGCTCTTTTCTAAAAGTAGAAAGGTATTTTATATAAAAAAGAACATTTAATTTATTCCAGTATTTTTCATTTCCTATATTCTCCTTCCTATAAGAAAAGTCTATTAGGCACAGAGGAGGATTCCAGTTCAATGTGCCTCAGTTCCCAGTGCAGAGTAGGAGGCTTCCAGGCCAACCTACCACCACTCCCAGCACAGAGGTGCCAGCAGCAACTCCCACCCACCCACCCACATCCCCAGTCCCAGATCCAAATGAGAAGAAGACAGGTAAGCAAACCCCAGAAACAGACTTCCAGATCACCTACAGCAACCCCAAAGGGAAACGAGATGGAACACGCTGATACTCAACCATCTGGAATCCCTGAACTAGCAACAAAAGAGGATCTGCAAAAAATGAAATTAGAAATAATTTCTCACATAACAGCAGAGATTGTGCCCACAGTGCATGATTCATAAATCTAGAAAAGACACAGATAAAATAATAGAGGAGCTGAGGAACATGATGGAATCCCAACATAGAAAACAAATGGAATCCATAAAACAGATGCAAACAGATTTCCAGGAGATTAAAAAATCCATTGAAAGTCTACAGAGCAGAAGGAGCCCATGTGAGGACAGAACTTCAGTTATAGAAGATAAGATTGCAATCAGTGACCAGGAAAAGAAAAATTTCTTTAAAATTGTAAGGGACCACGAGAAATGAATCCAGTAGCTGCTAGATGATGCAAAGAAGAATAACATAAGACTGATTGGAGTCAACAAAGAAACAGGAGAGAGTGCAGATGACATAAAAAAACTGTTCACAGAAGTGAGGGCAGAAAAATTCCCAAGCAGGGGAAAAGAATTTGACATACAGATAAGTTAGGCATATAGGACTCCAAATAGCCTTGATCAAAAAGAATGGACACATAGGCATATAACTGTTAAGATTCCAGAAACACAACAGAAGAACAAAGTTCTACAAGCAGTTAGAGAAAAGAAACAAATCACATACAAAGGAAAGCCCATCAGAATCACAGCAGACTTCTCAATGC